GTCCTTAGGCAGAAAAAGATTATGTAATTAGACTCTGATTCCGTAAGGCAGAAAAACGTTATAGTAATATATCATGTGTCAAGAAAAATATTACATAACTGGTTACCAATGGTGAGTTTTTATTTTTATTTTTATTCTTATTTTCATTTTTATTTTTATTTTTATTTTTATTTTTATATTCATTTTTATTTTTATTTTTATATTCATTTTTATTTTTATTTTAATTTTATTTTTTATTTTTGTTATTTTAAAAGATGGAAGTATGTTGCTATAACTATAACCGGTAGATTTGTCACAGTACAATTCTATAATGATGAAACATTGATTGGTCGTTGTCATTAACAAGTCAAGGACGAACATTATCAAATTTTGGATATCCTACTTGCATAGGCCCTTTCACTCATACCAATTATATGTCGTTTATCGCGTCACAAGTAAAAAAGGATTGAAGTACTCATATGTAACGATGAAGGTCGTCCAACTAATAAAACAAAAAATGTTGTTTACAAAGAGATCTTTCAACGATTATAGATATTTATGTATTTCATTGTTTTTTTCAAACATTTCAATGTTACCAATAACATTAAGTCTATTGCTATTAATTTATCTTTTTTATTATTGTACCAAATTTTTTATACCTTTATATGTATTTTTTTATATGTTCCTCGCGTTTAACGCGGTGTTTTCTTATAAATTCAAAGTTCTTAAATATTTTGACATTACATTAGTCTTACAACTAATAAGAGGATAAAACAAGATGTTGATGTAGAACCATAGAACAAAGTCAATAGACTAAAATGCTACAACCATTTCAATATTTACCAAAAAAAAACGTAGCTAAAATTACGAGGAAATCATAGATAGTTAGATGTCATATGCTATTTATCGGTCAAAATGTCAAATTTTGAAGATAAAATAGAGTAAATTATAGTATTTTACTATTATTTTTTTAAAATAATGATCATTTTGCCTTATAGTTTGTTTAAATTCGTAGTTTTGGTCCCCATTTGTTAAAATTGATAGGTTGTATCCCTATGATTTGGAAAAATTACATTATTAGTCCCACCTTCGTTAAGTCTAATAGCTTAATTGTTATTTTTTAAATTTTGCCCTTGATAATAAAAAGGCTAAACTATAAGGATCAACTCAGTAAAACCGCTAACTAAAAGGACCAGATGATTAAAACTCTAACCTAATATATATTTCCCTCTTATTATCGGTAACAGGCAACAAATCCCTCACCTTCATCTCTGTGACCAATGGCGAAGCTAGGAATTTTGATACGGGGTACAAACATTACAAAGATTCAAAATTGTAAATAAAAGAGTTTCGTAATATTTAAAATCATAAATCGGAAAAAAAAATAATTTAAGCAAAAGTTACAGTTGAATCTGCCTAGTCTTTAGGTCTTGAAATCGATCAAAGATACTAACATCAAGAACTTAAAGAAACACATTATTCTAAATAAAAGTGACTAAACAATCATTTAAAACGTGATCATTCATCTTATTCCAGAACTTATTCTCTCTACACTTGCTATAGGAACCGGAAAAAGATATATTTTATGTAGTTATCTAATCTCATGCATTAAAAATATAGTACAATCCTTTTATCTAGGAGTACAATAACATAGAACATGTTAACAAATAATTTGTTTTTTATATATATGTAACAATTTTTTAGGGATGTTGTGGTACGGTAAACACCCAATATATCTCTGCCCTGTCTGTGACTCCCTCTCCTCGCCTCTATCACTGTCGTCAGCCAACCCCGACACTTACAACCATTTCCCCGCCTCTTCCAACCCACCAGACCGAATCCATAGCCGATTAAAAACCTTCCCCGTCATCGATTATTTCCACTCCCAACCATATACCTCTGACACGTCTTCATATGTCCAATAGCCATTATCACCTACTTATATGCTACCCACTGTTGAAATCCCCTTCACCCACCGTCAATGTTCTCTGGTATCTTCCCCATGTGTCACCCACTGTCGGAATCCCCTTCATGCATCCCTCATCCGCTTGACACCATCGACACTTCTATCTTCCAGCGATGACAATTTCCCCCAACACCTCCTCTTCCGATGTCTCTCTACTTTGACGCGTCCCTCTTCTGTGGAAACAATTTGATTAAACATCCATGAAAGTTCGATGATCTAGATTAATGCCTTGTTGAGAAATTCGCACCGAACATATCTTGCAAGTGTTTGCACTGTAAATGGATATTACAGTTTATCAAGATTCGTTTGGGTTCTAGAAAGGGTAAAATGTTCAAGACTCTTTGTATGTTGATGCTTTGAGACAAATACAAGTTGAATCAATTGAGAATTGTATATTTTTCTAGAATGTGATATAAGTGATAGGAAGCAATGGAGATGGTTGTGCATCAAATCACATAAGAATATGGTTTATGGTTTGTGTTTTTACATCAAATCGCCTAAATTTTCATTTTGAAATTGTCTATTTTGTTAAAAATGACAACTATATTTTGCCACTTTCTTCTTCCTTCTGATATAATTTATGGCTTGTGTTTATACATGAAATTGCATAAGATGTTTGGTATCTAGTTTTTTGTCTCGTATCCTTTAGAATTCGGGTTTTTGGTTTATAGTTAGATTCATTGAAGTCCATAACACCCACTTCCAAATTGTTGTGTAGATGTAGTGTCTTGATTCGATCAAATTGATTAGAGTAGCATGTTGAAGATTGAAGATTATTGGAGGAAGTTATCGGTGAAGATGATCGGAGGGATGATAAGAAGATGAAGGAGGGCGGAGAGGGGTATGGTGGTGGCGTCAGGTGTGCAAGGGTGCAGGGGTGGATGGGGTGGAGTAGGAAGTGGCCTATATAAAAAATAGATATATAATAAGAAAATAATAAAAATAAAATAAGGGGTATGTTAGTCATTTACATGTTTTTAACTAAAGTTTCTAACGAAGTTAAATGTAAGGACGAAAACTGCAATAATTGGAAACCATAAGAACCCGACCTATCAAGTTTTCAAAAATTGGACTTAAACTGCGAATTGGACTAAACCATAGGGACCATTTCTGTAATTTACTAAAAAAATATACTTTTGATAAATCACATGTTTAAACTCAAAATCACAATCTAAACGACAAAATTGCAGACCGTGTCGATTTTGAAGGCTAAATGAGTCATTTCATAATGTTTGATTATTTCTTACAAAAATAAAAGATTAGGCTAAAAACAATCTCTTAATAGAAAGAATCAAGGTTGTCAAGATCGGGATCCTACTTAGGATCGTTTTTGGGTTTGCAAGATCGGAATCGTAAGATCGGGATCGGGATCCTAAGATCCCACAAAATAAAATATAATTTTAATTTTTAATTTTTAATCATGAAAAATATTTTAAACATTCAATTTTTCGTTCAAAAGTTATAAAAACTTCAAAATATTAGTCATAAGTCACAATACAAAATGATAAATGGTAAATTGGTAAAAGGTAAAAGACATAAAAAGGTAAAAAAAAATTCATTTGCAAAAAAAAAAAAAAAAAAAAAAAAATTCAAGGGAAGGTAGGATCGGATCGGATCTCAATCTTACGATCCTACCTGCGATCCTACACCAAATACGATCCTTTTACGATCCGGATCATTTTTTATACCTAGGATCGTAGGATCGTTTTGACAACCATGGAAAGAATATATGAATTATAATCAAAATATTAGATTCAAGTAAAGGGTATTTGATATTTGTTTTATATGATATTTTGAATGTATTTTGTTTTTATCACATTACAAGTCTTAAATCGAGCCCTAATTAAGTTTTGATTACTTTATATGATACTTTTAGTTAATGTATTTCAGTTTTTAACAGTTAATTTATAAAACTAATATTAATGTCAAAAGGTTGCATGTATTTCATGTATTGAAAAAAGTTTAAAAGGGTAGTTTGATTTTATGATTTATACAAAACAAGGCTGTCAACGAAATCATGATTTATAATAAAGAAACAAAAGAAATAAAGGGTGACAAGAAATAGAATGATTGATGTGTCAAATCGTTTAAATGTAAATCTTCAATTGCACGCAATTTAATTTGCATTTTACAATTAAATTGCAAACTTTAAACCAACAACATTAATAATTACCTATCATGTCATAGACTAAAGAGTGAAGGCATAATAACATCAAACGTTTCTTGTCGAATGAACACAACTTAATAATTTATTAAACATTTTTTGCACTTTTGATAACCATTTCAATTTTCTAGTCATACACGTTATGATACTATAAGATCTATAGAGTTGCTTTTAGTTAACTAGGGTTTGCATTTTTTTTACCCTTTTATCCTTATTGGATGTGCATAAAAACGGTAGGGTTATGTGGCTAAATCACAAATCTGAAAAACGATTTTTAAGCTTCACATTTCTTTTGTTTTTCATATAAAAAGTATCATCAAAACAATAGGTGTTGGGGTATTTCCTTTAATTGACAAGTTTCGTTAAACAGTTCTTAAAAGTCTCTTGAAAGATACTGACCCTATAATCGGCTTCGAAAGCCCATCTACACTACTTTATGTGACCAGACCGGATTACAAAAGTTGGGCTTGGGCCCTTACCCAATTTACAACCTGTTGAAGACCCGATAAAGCCCAAATTTTGAAATTGTTTGGCTATGGGTCGATTTAGAGTTTTTGAAAAGCAAATTTATTAAAGTGAGGAATCTTTGTTGATATAATCCTAATGGATTAACGTAAATTGTAATTGTTCAACTTTAAGATGACATACAAGAGCTTTGTGATCTATGAACATCTACTTTTGTCTAACATTTCTACAAGCTTTAAGCTAGTTTTGTCAAACACTCTCAAGTAATTTAGTTTGTTATTGTCTTGTGATTTTACTTGAGTAAAAACATCTATGATGATTTTTCAATAATTACCAATAAATGCAAGATATCAAGTCCATAAAGTGTTCTTTAACACTAGAGTCAAAAAAGAAAAAAAAAAAACAACCAAAACATCAAATGTTAAATCGTGTTTCTTCTATATAACCCCCTCCCCCACCCTTAACAACTTTATGCTTCTACAAATACGAGATTGCAAAAAATTTAAAAAAAAAAAAATTATTGAAAATTAACCACTACACGATGCTATACTTGTAAACCAAATGAGTTGCCATGCTTTTTTCTTCACAATTAATTGCAAATGATCCAGCAGTTTATCACAAAAAAGCTGACAGGGTCCCACTGCCACGTCAGCTCACCTCACAGGAAGTAATCTGGTGTCCTACGTGTCACATCTGGCTCCCCCCTCCTTGGAGCTGGATCAAACTGCAATCCAATATTTTCTTTAGTTGGTGTTTCTTTTTTAATTTTTTTTACAAATCAAACAAAATTACCGATTTACCCTTATATTATAAGAAACAAATTTCATCAAATTTAGAGTGAGAGGAGTTGATAATACAAGAATCAGCCAAATTTTAGACATGACCTTATATTTTGTGTTTTTCCAGATTAAACCTCAACTTAATTTTTTTTCATGTAAAGGACCTTGCATTTTTTCATTTTTTCCAATCTGGCCCTTTTAGTAATTTTTTTTTCTAAAAAAATTGTAAAATGTGAGGGTTTTTTCAAGAAAAACTAGAAAGGTTGAGGATTTATTTGGAAACATTTAGAAGGTTGAGAGTTTTTTTGGAAAAAAAAAAAGACAAAGTTGAGGGTTCTTTTGGAAAAAATGAAAAAATATAAGGTCTTTTTCACGAAAAAAATAAAGATGAGGTTTAATCCGAAAAAACACAATATAAGGTCTTTTATGAGATTTAACCCTTTGTTTTTTCCTTTCATTTCCCAATGTCATAATTCTCTCAAATATTTCTAAACACAATTTATCCAAACAAACACTTAATATAAAAAAAATAAAAAATAAAAAATTAATACCTGAATGAAGGTGTGACCTTTGCAATCATCTACTTCAAGAATAGAAGCCATGTTCCCACATCGGTAACAATAATTAGGTGCACTAAAAATTGTTACAACTTTTTGCTCCTATTATAATTCATTTATTTAAAAAAAAAATCAGAATAATAAAACTTTCATTTTTTAAACAAAAAAAATATATATTTAAAAAAAAAGCATTACATGACCCCAGTTGAATCCCTCCATAACCAGCTGATGTGCTCTCGCAATTAACTTTAACCCATTGCTATGATTAAATTGCTCAGATATATCCTAAAAAAAAAAATAATAATAATAATAACTCATTAACATTAACACGACAAATAAATAAATCAAAGAGTTAATCTCATAAAATACCTTATATTTTGTGTTTTTGCCTGAAAATGACCTTATATTTTTTTTATTTTTCCGAAAAAACCCTCGACTATTTAGTTTTTCGAACACAATTTTTTTTGGAAAAAAAATGTCTAAAAGGGCTGGATCGGAATAAATAAAAAAAATACACGGTCTTTTTCAGGCAAAAAATAAAGGTTTTATACAGAAAAGTCTCATTATTTTGGGAAATTTTTTGATAAAGTCCTAAATCTTTTTTTGAAAGTCCCGATTATTTAACATTTTGCCCAAATTAACAAAAATGTCCTTTTTTTTTAACAGGAAATGACAGGTTATGTGATTTTCCAAAAATAATTGGCCTTATCTGCATAAAACCCCAAAAAATAAAGTTGAGGTTTAATCCAGAAAAAAAAAAGGTTAATCTCAAAAAAGACCTTATATTTTGTGTTTTTTCCGAATTAAACCTCAAATTTAACTTTTTCCTGAAAAAACCTTGTACTTTTTCATTTTTTCCAATCCGGACCTTTCAGTCACTTTTTCCCAAAAAAATTGTAAAATGCGAGGGTTTTTTCGAGAAAAACTAAAAAAGTTGAGGGTTTATTTGCAAGCATTTAGAAGGTTGAGGGTTTTTTCGAAAGAAAAATACAAAATTGAGGTCTTTTTCAGGCAAATAAATAAAGTTGGGGTTTAATCCAGAAAAAACACAAAATATAAGGGTCTTTTATGAGATTAACTCTAAATAAAAAAAAATTTAAAAAAAAGGATAATAATAGAAAATAGATACTTGGCCAAATGTGTATCCAGCGCCACGTGGAGAAATCCCCCACCCACATCTGTCATCTGGATCTGACCATAAAAGATCGCACATCGGACCTTCATGTGGAACTTCTTGTACACGATCGAAATTTCTTATGTTATCTAGGGTTTCAATCGAAGGCGATAATCCACCATGAAGACAAAAAATTTCCGATTCAACCTATAAAATAAATAAAATTTTCAATTTTTGGAAATTGAGATTCGAAGTAATTAAATGTTGTGGATTCTAAAGAAAACGAACCAATGCTGTGAGTGGAAAGTAGTCGAACAAATCTGTAAATGTCTTCCACACACTTGCGTTTCCATATCTACAAAAAAAAAAAAGTTTTAATACAATATACATAATTTGTTAATTTAAATATGATGTTAAATTTAAAATATAAAGCAAAACGTGAAATGAAGTAATGATTAATGAACTCTAGAAAATTTATCCAAATACTACTTTTAAAACCATTTAGAGCTGAATGACTCCAAACTCTTAATGGTTAAGAGAAAGTAGGGTTCCTTAAGTGTTCAAAGGCTTTTAATTCAATCAGAGGTGACCTCTAAATGATTCCATTCAGAGGCATCAAAGCACGATAAACCAATTTAAATATCAATGAAATGATACGAGTAAACAAATTGTAAAAATTAATGCAAAAGTAGATAATGGAAGAACAAAAGGTACTTACTTTCGTAGGCATTCATCATAAAATCCATAAACTTGAGTAATCTACAAAAAAAGTAAAATCATTTCAATTTCCAACTATTTATATTGTGAATTAAAAAAAATAATAAATAATACCTGGCGACTTTCATGGTTTCCTCTTAAAATAGTAATACGTTGTGGATATCGGACTTTTAGGGCAACCAATAACTGAAAGTGGAAAAAATAGTAAATGATTTATGATTAGTACAATTTCCAAAAGATAAAAGAATAATAAGCAAGAAAGATAGAAGTCAAAGAGTCAAAAAGTCAAAAACTTACTGTCACTGTTTCAACCGAGTAATAACCACGATCAACATAATCTCCCATGAATAAATAATTTGTATCAGGACACTTCAATAAAAAAAAAAAAAAAACAAATTGTATCAGTTAAAAATTCAAAGTACAATAATTTGACTTAAAATAATTGTATAAAACAAAAATCAAAATACAAACCTTCCCTCCAATTCTAAACAGCTCTGCAAGATCATGGAATTGACCATGAATATCACCACAGATTGTCACAGGGCTTTTAACAGGCTGAAACACAAATGCACAAAGTTTATAAGTTCATTGTGATTTGTGATTTGTGAAATTACAAAAAGATCAAATTTACTTCAAGTGTAATTGTAGATAAAGTTATATTAATATATACACATGGTAAAATAGAAAAGAAGCATACCTGTACATTGCTTTCCACCATTAAAATCTCCTTTGCTTTCTCACATAACAACCTAACCTGCATGACCATGGTTGAATTTATAAACAACAATAAAGTGATGGACTTTTGCATTCATCTTACAGTGGAATGGAAACAGAGTTTATTAGAAACACATACAAGAAAGGCATTCTATAAGAAGCAAAAGAAAGGAAAAAATTTCTAATATATAAGGTCTAATATGCATCCAACAGTGTAAAGATGCAAGCTTTTTACAGTTAATTCTTCGAGAGTTATGATCCCTATGGCTTATTCTTCCTTAAAATTTCAAAAATGAAACTCCTGAAACTTTAGTTTTGGGCGAAAGAAAGATCCTTTATTGTAGAAGATCCATGGAGCATGAATAATTTTATCTCAAATAGTGGGAACTTAGGAACGATTAATTCGAGAAAAAGTTAGCAATCTAAATCGAATTCTTCTTTCGGTATAAATTTTCCAAAACGAGTATGTATTCGAGATATAACATAAATCTAATACGGAGATACCATCTACCAACTAAGTTACCGAAAAAAAACTTGTAAATTCAAACTGAAAATTGAAAGTTTCGAACTTAAATTGAACCAGATCTGATCCAGTAAACAGATCTGTGCAAATGAAATCGAAAAGAACAATACCCCAGCTCAAATGGTCAGATCAGACCCAAATATAACCTAAAGCAACAAATCGTGAAATCGAAATTAACGAAAGACGGATTTAGGGATTATTGAATAACAATAATAATAAGAATAATAACCTCTTGTTCGGATAAGGGTTTGCATTGCATGAGCTGAGTAATATATTCATCGACGTTGCCATTAGCGCTGGAGACAACTGGAGCCGAGCTCATGTTTGTTTCTTCGTTTTGGGTATTTTGTTAGCCAATAGATTGATACGAAGATCTGAATAGTGGATTTTGAATTGGTGAATGATAGATCCAAAAAGAAAATCTGCAAGAATCTTTTGGGTTGGGGAAGAGAGTGAAGAAGAGAGTGGGGGGAAGCGAGAGGTGGTGGTGAAACCAATATGGAAATGCAAATGCAAATGCAAATGATGGTTGAGAAAACGAAAGGAAAAGAAACCCTTGTTTTGATATTGCCTTTTTGTTTCTTCGATTAAATTAAGAGGAGGTGGGTAAGGCTAAACAAGTCGACCGAGATCCACACTCACAAAGCTTCAACTCCATTATCATATGACTTTTTTTTTTTTTTTTTTATTGAAATTCAAATTTTTAAGAGAAGGTGTGAGACTCATGTATTAGATAAGTTTATTTAAATAAAAAACTAAATATAAATATTTGAAAAGTTTGAATATATATAAGAAAAATGAGAACTATATTGAATTATAAAAATTAAAGTGTTTTTTTCTTATTTAAATTTAAACAAATAATTTAGATAAATAAAAAAAGAAAATCAATGAATCTTTAATTTAGTAATTTTGAAATTAAAATGAAAGTTCATTAATGAAATTGATATGCATTTATTATTGCATTTAAATACTATTTGGAATTTAATAAAATGAAAAAACCATAAAATGATATGTGGATAAAAAATTAATTTAAAAAAACCACAAAATTACATGTGGCAAAATAAATGAGAATGTGATATGTGACAAAAAAGATCTTTATTTATTGGAGAGGATTTTGTATATCTGTTTTTTATTTAACAATATATTTTTTATTTTACATAGCATAAAAATGAATGTATTTTAGAAAAAAAATCAAAAAAGTCATTACATTTTAAATATGTTATAGGTGAAGCAATTATTTTATTATTTTCTAGAATAATTATACAAATGGTCCATGTGGTTTGGGTAGTATGTGGGCTTGGTTTCTTTTTTCTTTTTAATTCGGATTATCTTTATAATTTGGATTTGGTTCAATCATACACAAAATGACGATTTTGCTTTTATTGATACATTTTTATTTTGTTAATTCTTTTTTATTATTTCAATTCTATTAAATAAAGTAAAAATTATTAGTATATTGTTTTTAATGGGAGTCACCCCGCTTTAATCATCTTCCTTCCCTAAATAGACGAAAACTACCCGGTTCTCGACAAGTTCCGATCTTCAGCGAAATCACTCCAAACTCAACAAAAAGCTACCTAATGTTTAACCATAAATCGGAAATACGTCTAAAATCGAACATACAACTCACATCCAAAACTAAAATCCAATCTACAACTCAATCCAAAATTTGACATGAAATTTAAATCCAAAATCAAAATATAAACGTGTGGCTTAAATCCAAATCTCAAATCAAACCTACATGTAACGCCCCAAAATTATATGGTAAACATTTTTACGTTAACCAAAAACACCAATTATCTTTTTCCAAACATTCCAAAGTATATCATAATAAAACACTTATCAGAGTACAATCCCAAAATCATCAAGTTGTGGGGACATGGGTGGATGCGCTGCGATCAAGCCGAACCCTTCCCTTACAAACTGGAAGTACCTGAAAACATAACCTTAAAAACTGTAAGCATAAAGCTTAGTGAGTTCCCCAAAATATCACATACCATACATATCATTGGGCCTAGCTCGCACATTGGGCCTAGCCCAGCATACATTTGGGTCTAGTCCGTCATACCATGGGCCTAGCCCGACATATAATGCAAAAGTCACAAAGACAGCTAGCATCCTACATAACATATATTGGGCCTAGTCCTTCCTGACCCATGGGCCTGGCCCAGCATACAAACGGTCCTAGCCCGTCATACAATGGGCCTAGCCTAACATATCGTGCAAGTGGGTCGGCATTGGTGCCTTCGACCTACGGGTACAGTGAGTATACTCGCCTCAATCAGAAGGTAGCAGATCTTGCGCCCAAGTCTTCTACACAACGACTCATCGCACTGAACACAATAAATACCAACCCAAGTTACAATCTAAAGGTCAAGCCTATAAATCATGAGGCCCTAAAATGGCCCAAGCCCAAACTAGGCACACTAATGGCTCGAGCCCAAATAGAGAGTCCTAAGGCCCAACCTATAATCTATATTTCTAAAGGGTGAAAGAGCATTTTACCCTTTCCAAAAATTGGTCCAATATCTCATAGCCCAAAACCCAAAAGGCCCAAAATGGTCTTCTCGAGAGTACGTCGCGCGTACCAGAAACCTACGGCCCGCATACAACCCATCGCAACATAACGTACAAGTCGTGAAGCTTGATCCATACATTACGTTGAGCGTACTCCTACGTACGCCCAACGTACTCTTCAGAGGGCCAAAACTCAAAATAAGCTCTTAATGGTTAAGACAAGCACGTCCAAAAACAGATTTGATCCTTAAGGGGTGTCTTAAGTCATAAAGTTCTTGACTTTATGACTTTGCATGGCTTAAAGAGGTCCAAACCATAATCTAAGCTTCCTAACTTCATAATAAGATCACCAATACTTGCATGAGAGGATAAAACTCCACAAGATCCAAACTTTATGACTTAATGGCCTCAACAAGGACCAAATATGAGGCTCAAAGGTTCTAGAGTAGCTTCTACTCACAAGAACCACAACCATGGGACCAACACATGATAAAATACCACCTAAAACTAGATCTATACAAAGAAGCCATCAAGGTTGAAACTTTATACCTCCAGAAGATGTAGAAAGGAAAACCAAGCCTGTATCTACAAGCTCCAAGCAATCCAACTCTCCTTCAAGAGGCTCCTTCTTATTTAATGAGCACCAAAACACATGAAATCATACCAAGAACTCAAGAATCACTCAAATGGGGGATAGGGTTTCGTGTATAGAGTTTAATAGGATGGAAGCTGAAGGTAAGAGGGTTTGGAGTTGAGTTAAGGACATTAAATAGGGTCCAAGACCCTTAATTAGGGTTTGCACCCGACTGGAGTACGCCATGCATACTCCTGGCACGCCCAGCCTACCCCAATAGGCACCCACGATTCTCCTACCTAGTACACCCAACGTACTCCTATGTACGCCCAACGTACTCCTATGTACGCCCAGCGTACTAGGCTTAGCCCTAAAACCACCAAACTTCTGAAGGCCATAACTTCTTCGTTCTAAGTTTGATTTCGACGATCCTTATATCCCCAGAAAGGTAATGAGAAGCTCTACAGTTATATCAACTCACTCTTTCCTTAAAACTTTTAAAACTTACATCCAAAATTCATAAAAAGGCCCAAACTATCACTCTACGGTTATACCCTTGGGCTCCAAAACACAAACCGAACTCTCGGATCACCTAATCTACATTATACACACCCAAAAGGGGCTAAATCTCTCCTTCCCCAAGGTAAATTGCGTTATGATAACTGATCTTCGAATCACGACCCCGAATTAGGAAACGGTTCGCAACAGGGTGTTACAACTCTCCCCCACTTATATTAGATTTCTTCCTTGAAATTTTTAACACTCGTTCCGAGAAGGTTCATTTCTAACCATTAACTCTTTATGTTTGCATTCTTATTCCGTACGTCGTGTATACTCGGGGTGTACGCATGGCGTACTCATGCATGAGGAACGCGAGTTCATTCGCTTACGTTGGGCGTACTTAGCATGTACGCTGTTCAGACCAAAACCCTAATTTTAAGGGTTTGTACCCTATATAAGCCCCTTTATGGCCCCAATACCTTCACCCTCTTCAGCCTCCACCTAAAAATCGTCCATCCAGATAAACCTAATCGTGGAGAGTGCACCTTGAGCTTATTTATGTGTTTTGGTGGTATTCTTGAAGAATAAGAAGGTGGTAGAAGGCCTTTGGATCTTGGAAGAAGTTTGGATCTGGGATTCTCACGTTGCTAGCAACCTTTAAGGGGTAAAAAGCTCCTAGATTGATCATCTTTTCTTATAGATCTAGTTATTCCTTCATTTAGGGCATTTTTGGTCCCAACCTTGGTGATTCTTGAGCATGGAATGCTCTTAACCAAACAAGTCATCCTTTCAGACCCATTAAGGGGTGTTGAGTCATAAAAATGAGATCTTGATGCTTTGTTCTTCACCATGCATGCTCTAGGATCTCTTTATGGATTAAGAAGTTAGGATTGTTGGTATTAAGCACTTAATGGACATGCAAAGTCATAAAGTTGGAAACTTTATGACTCTCAGTGGTAATTTGGCCTTGGATCTATAATTGGAACATAAGAGCTTAATGTGTTAAGCTCTTATTATGGAAAAATGGACTTCAGTGCTTACACTGTGCATAGTTCTGGGTACAACGTGCGTATGGGGTCAACGGCCTGATCCCGGTCAAAGCTTGTGTACGCCCAGCGTACAAGTTGAGTACGCCCCGCGTACTCAGCTGAGTTGACTTGTTGACTTTGACCTTTGACCAGAGTTTTGACCAAGTTTGACCTAGGGGTATTTTGGGTATTTTGAGCTGTTAATTAAGATTGGGTCCTTGGTATTAGTTAGGTGATCGTTAAGCTAGTTTTTGGAGTCGTTCACGGCGTTGTGCATTTTTCCTGTTCTCGTCTGATTGTAAGGTGAGTTCTTCCTCGTTATACTTGGGGGTCGAAGGCACCAATGCCGGCCCGATAGATTAGGTATCCTGGTTTGAAAGATATTGATATGTTTTAGTGACATGTTAAATCTGTATGATTAAATGTATTAGATGTTTATCTGTATATATATATATATATATATATATATATATATATATATATATATATGTTCATTGGGTTGAGGTCACTGCTTTGTGCGGTAGACAGACAAACTGGGGCAATCCAATCGGGAGATTGTGGGTCAGGGCAATCCAACCGGGAGGTTGTGGACCTAGTGTTGTGGCAATCCAACCGAGAGGTGTGTGGGCCCTGCATGCATTTATATGTCTATTTATCTGTTGTGTGTGGTATCTTGGGGAATCTCACTAAGCGTCGGGCTTACGATTTTAGTTTATGTTTTAGGTACTCCATATGATCGGGGCACTACAAGGGGGTGATCGGGCACATCTTCCTTGATTTGGTTTGATATGATTTTCTGGGATACTCTGATTTATGATTTTCTACTTTTGAAACAATGAATTGTAAACAATGATGTTTTGGGTTGTATTGCTAAATGAAAAAAAAATACTGTGATTTTGGGATGTTACAAGTTGGTATCAGAACCCTGGTTTAAGCGAATTGGACAAATATCCGTGTGAGTCCAGACTCAAACTAAG